AAAAAAAAAAAAAAAAAAAAAAAAATTAATAAAAAAAATTAATAACAATAATAATATTAATAATATTAATAATAATAATAATAATAATAATAATAATAATAATAATAATAAAATAAAAAAACCGAAATCACAAATCAGCTATTTTGATTTATATACACCATTTAGAACTACATGTCCACAGTCCTTTAAAAGAGAGAGTTTTGCATTTAATCTTGCATTTGAGTAATGCGCGCGAGCGGCGAAGAGCGAAGCGATCCGGCGGGATGGAGTCTGGTGAAAAGGCGGCTTGCGCTTGTGCTCCAACATGAGCCTACATTTAACCGTGACCGACACTGATTAGCTTCTACATACGGGAGTCGATGACGTTGTGTTCGGAAGTACTCGTCAGTATTCGAGTGTGGTCAGTCTCCGTGTGCCGTGTCTCACCAGTTGTCGAAATGTGTTTGTCGGTTTGTCACAGTGTTTGATTGAGAGAAGGGAGGAAGACGGAATGGGGGTGTGAAAGGGGGAAGGGGAGCAATGAGATGGGTTTGATTGCTGGAGGTGGAGGATATAGACCTATTCGGATACCTGTTTTTTCCTCACAAATCCATCCTCTGCTAATATTTCGCTTGATGCTACTAAACGATCCCTTAGCTCCATCCGAAGATTCCTTGGCCATCACTGTGTAAAAATCACTGTCTTGAGGCTTATCCTTCTGCCATTTGTTTATAGTTACCGTTTTGCCATTAATCCAAGTCCATTTATTAGATGTCAAGTTTCTGTACAAACCGATATGCCATTCATTTTCTTTGCCACTATTCCGAGTTTGAATCTCTTTATTTATAAATTCCCACTCTCGCTCTGTTTCCATGACCACCAGATGCTTATTGTTATATTTACAACTGTCCTCTGCCTGTGGCCACCTCTTGGGCATGTCATTTTCAAAGGTGAAGCAAGAGCAACGTTTTCCTCCACCTGAAATTCATAAAAAAAGGAATGAAAGAACATACAAGCTTGATTGGAAAATGAATCAACCGACAAAGACTGGGATACTGAGGCAATCTGCCTATTGTTAAATTTACATTGACGTGTCATTTTCAAATGTGTAGCAAAATTAACTCTCCTCTCCATGTAAACGTTCGTTTAAACCAACAACAATAACTGAAAAAAAAAAAAAAAAAATACAAAATTTACATGGCCAAGTAAATTCACAATACTCAAAGAACGCAGTATGTAAGTCCCGCGTTTTTCTGTTATCCCCTAGCGTATTGCCGTTGCTTCTTGGTACATTTAATCATAGTTTTTCTGTCGACATTTTTTGGGGCTGGCTTTCCCGAATTTGGTCACGTGCGGAAGTTGACGGGTAAGTTGACGAGTTGTCCCTGCGAGCAATCTAGTGTTTAGCATTATGATTATACACTAAGCATGCGTAAGGCAAACTAGGGTGTGAGCAGGAGCCATAATCGGGGACGGAGACCGTAAATGTTGGGATCCGCGCGCACCTATGATATGGGGCAATTTTTCTATTTTTAGAACAAATTGCGCCATCCTGACGTCATATACCCGCGCGGATCCACGCACATCCACGCACATGCCGGGGGCTCTCGCGTGGATGTTGTCACGTTGCGTGATCAAATGGTGAGAGTTGCGAGATTCTCGTGCATATTTTTCACAGCGATGGCAGGGAATAAGGCAGGGAATACGAACCAGGGTTCTTATATGTATTTTATGTTCTGAGCTAATGGAAAAGGTGAGTTTTTCAGGGTCGAAAACAAGACTTCAATTTCGCGCTGTGAATGAACAATATCTGCTCGCGCTAGTTGTACGAGTAAGATTTTGCGTTTGCTCTGTAAAGAAAAGTTATGCAAGAAAACTTTTTACTCTGGTATCGAGTTAATTTGTGAGTTTCCCAAACAATGCTTAATCGTGACAAAACCCTGTTTTTGATAGTTTCTCATTGTTTAACTGTTTGTTTGGCGAGTTTGCAAAAGTTTTTGAAAGGAAAGTCTGACGCGTACATAAGAAGCTCATTTGAATAGTGCAGCGCGTGCACTTTCAAATCCGAGTAGGTGTTTTCAATTGTCAACAAATCTTGACAAAGATTTCTTTCGTTGTCTTTTGTGCTGAGATGCTGCAATAATTTTCATCAACGCCAAAAGGCTACTAACATCATGTGTATTTCTTTAACATCGTGAAATTTTATACTGCGAAAATAAAATAGACAAGGAGTTTTGATAACTGACAACCAACGAAATCGAAATCGTTATTCGAGTTGATAAGACGAAAGAAAGCGTCATCGTAACTTTGCTGATTATTTCTGCTGTATTCACATATTTTCAGCTAAGCTTTTAATACGTTCACAAATATTTATCAACCTGAAACGTATTTTAAAAAAAAAATTAGCGATATTATGTGAGTTCGATGTACGTTTTCACACGAAAGTTGGGAAGTCCAATTTGTCATGTTTTACTGACCGTACAAAACACGCATCGGCGGGCGCTCTTATTCATCGACAACAGACAATTTATTGGATTTTTACACAAACAAAACTGAGCAGCACTACAGACATAAACGTTATTGTCACTTATTGGGCCTTGATAAAACCTCAAGCGTTAATTGCTTACAATTCAGGCGAAACTCAAGCTTGCAATTATTTTTGCTTTACTTTTAGGTCGAGATAGACTCCAGTTCTGGCGAAATCGTCGCAAGCGTGTGGCAAGAGGAGGGAAACTTTGAAGTCCTAAAACGGTGCTATATCCAAATTTATCCAACTGGTCTTTTGCTGTGTTATGGAAAAGCTGTGTATCTTCAACATATGTGAAACTTAGAGTGGAATAATGTGGAGCTCTTGTAAAAAAAGCAGCGGAACACAACTTGGTCAGTGATATAAATAAAGCGGTACATAACTAAATTCGACACTGTCTTAATTCACTCAAACTGGAGCAGCCTACGACGAAAATACTGAAGCAAAATTCCAATAGACATGAACGTATTGATTTGTGGGCCAAAAGCATCAAACATTTCGGGAATTTCGGACGGCATTTCTCCGCGCTACATCTGCAAAAATCCTCGCAGCATGTACGCGCTTGTGCCGCACGGGATGGCACAATTTGTTCTAAAAAATAGAAAAATTGTCCCATATCATAGGGACAGCCCAGGGGCGGGGCAGAAGACTCCTGAAATTTTCATATAGGTATCATCCAACAAAAAATGACGTCACATCCGGTTTAAACTGCGCTTCGCGGCTCGCTTCACAAA